ATAGAAACTTGGCGTATAGTCTACATTTCAAATTTCTCCCACTGTGCCCCACCACTTTCCTAATAATGATGATTTTAGCTGCCTGAATGACTGACAACAATTTTGTGTGGTTTTCGAAGTCGAGTCGTATTAAATTTAACGAATAGAATATAATGCTTATTGACTTCTTGTGTTTTAGATTTTTTCCTGCTGAACATTATTTGTGTATATGTGCACTTGAGTGAGAGTCAAATGTGAGTGTGTGTGAGTATATATGTAAACAAAGAATAGTTGTCACTTTTGTCAATTTAGTCCTTTGGGAGGAAATTTGCAAAGTTTTCATCATGATGATGACGATGATGATGATTTGTTTACTTTTATATCTGACGGCATAGACAAACAAAAAACCACAAATGACAACAAAAACCAATACACAGAAAACTACCGCACACACACAGACGGCACTCACACATACATAGAAACTAATACACACATTGTGATATTATGAAGTGATACATTCATCATTTTGTAACAATGATACCATTTGCTGGATATTGGCATTCTCTTTGTGTGTGTGTGTTTGTGTATTTTCTAAGGACATGAAGGATATCGTTGTCGTTGTTGTGTGTCGTCTTTCTTTGCTTGATGTCCTTATTGAAGGCATGGCAAATAGGAGAGAGTAAAAAAAACACACTACCATTTATTATTTTTCTTTCTTGGTTGATTTTTTTTTTCATTCAAAAACTACACTATTTCCCCATTACCTCTGCACACACACCCATGTCCACATCCTTTATCGAATGTATGTCATTGCATGTGTCTTTTGATTTTTTTGTTTTTGGTTTCAGATTCGATTTTTTATTGATTTGTATTCTCTCTTTTCTTGATTTTTTTGTTTTTTGATGTTGATTTGTTGCTGTGTGTTTGTTTGTTTGCCGTTCCTTTTCGTCACCCATGGATGCAACTGCTGCTGTTCATCACTGCTGTTGGCTGACTCACAGGAATACCCCCAAACTTCCTGTAGCCGATTTTCTTCTTCATATTTTTTATTTGCAATTGTTCTAACTGCCAGTTCGTTGTTGTGGGGGTTTCATTTTTCTTCTGTCTCTCTAAAAACCAATTATTTTAAAAGGCCTTCAGTCATCCAGCAAGCCAGCCAGCCGCACACACACGTTGGACCATAAAATGTGGCACAATGGTGACAATGGCAGTTATTGTTGGTGTGTCCTATAAAAATATATATACCTACCTGTAGTATATAAATATATATGAATACATATATATGTATATTTATAAAAAATAATCGAGAACATAACCCATTTGTGGTATTTTTTCCATTGTTGCAACAAGCATGTGTTATGTTGATGTTGTTGTTGTTTTCAGGACAGTTTGAAGAGGTATTACAGGTGTTTTGTATGAAATATAGTGGGGGAGGATTTATGTCTTACAAACTCACCAATATTATGGTACATGTGTTCGGTCATTAGTTTACATCATAACAAAGTAATCACATTTGCCCTCATATAGAATGTACAGTGGTCGGCATAGTTACATTTTTGGTTATTTTAAAACTGTACTAGAAAGCTTTAATATGCATCATAACCTATGGACCACGTTTAAAATAAACTACTAAAAAATAATACCTTGTTCTTCTATTGGTATTACAAGTCTTCTTGGATTTCTATCGACATTCAAAAACTGCTACTTCTTCTGTTTCAAATAGATAACCACTAGGTCTTGTATATACCACAGACGACTAATATTGAGACTATATGACTAATATTGAGACTATATGAAAACCTGTAGACTCAAGGGGAACAGAGAAAATTTTCAAAATTACGAAGGACTTTGAATTAATAAAACAAACGAAGAAGTACTTCAAATAATCGAGAAATCCAAATGATCGAGTTTACTTAATCTTATGTTTTTTATACCCTAGCCACACCCTTTGAAATTTGACCTCGAAATATTCACCTGGGGTCCCATAAAGTATATATATGCTTGATCAGAATAAAATTCTATGTTGGTACCTTCTCAATTTTGGCTAGCAGAAATTTTGGTTCTCTGGGTTGGCTTGATGGAAAATGTTCCTACTAGAAGTGATCAAATGTGGTATTTCGAGTTTGCGCACGTGTATCAACCAAATTGACTGTAATATTGTATTTTAGCTTCCGATTTAGTAGAAAATCTCCCTAAGTTTTTGTGTATGTTTATCAACCGAATTGGCTCTGATGTCCGCGTATAAATGGTAAAGCTCATTGGGTGTAAAATTCGACCCGATAATTCACCGTCGACGCAGATCGGCCCGTAGATCTTTCGGAGAATTTTTCTTTCAAACACCCTAAGAGCTGCCTCATCTGCTTGCGCAAGTACCCATACTTCTTATCCATATAATAGCACGGGTAGTATTAGCGTCTTGTAAAGTGTGAGTTTGGTATGGCGTGAGGTGGCCTTGTTTCTAAACTGCTTACTCAGATCAGTCAGATCATATATATATATATATATATATGTATATAATATCTTCCTATAGCCCCTATATAAATGTCCCGATCCTTTTTTCGGTATTACTATGTTTTTAAAAGAATTCCCTCATCGAAGTGGCTACATTTTGGCATATCGTAGGTGAATAAAATAGTTCTCTCCAGATATTTTATGTAATAGATTAATTTTGAACACAGACCATGTGCTGGAGGCAGACAAGACAGGCAGTCGAACGGACGATCGTTTCTAAATTGATTTCAAATTGTCTGAAATGTGTTTTATCGGAAACTGATTTGCTGCCTAAAGTTAATGTTTCAAGAGGCATAAAGTGTATATACCCCGACTGGCCTTACAATGAGGGTATACAAATTTCAGTGGTACTACTGCGTTCTATTAAAACATTTTTCTAGAACTCAAAACTTAAAAAAGTAATAATTATTGAAAGTTAGGTGGAGGGAGGTCGGCATTTTCGAGAACTTGAAGTACCACAGTAAAACCAATCCGTTTTGATAATATACCTCCATTCTAGGTTTAAAACCAGAGAGCGGAGCAATATAGTCGGACGGGGCCGACCATACGATACCCTACACAACAACCACGGAACTCTAACTATCTGCGGATATTTATTTCGAGCCTGGGTAATATTTCGTAATATTTGCACCCTCTTGACTGATTAGGGATCAACAGCACCTCTTACTTATACTAAAAAATTTCCGAATATTCCCAATATTCACTACAGCCCTTCCAATTACTTGTCCATATTCTCTTCACCGTGTGTTGTGTTGTGATGTTCAGCTTGTGGCCTGTAGATCTACTCGAAAAAAAGCACAAACAATTAAGTTTTCTGTCCACTTCATCCCAAATTTTGTATGTGATCTTCACCGAAAATTATAGGATAAATACGTAAGCACTGTAAATATTTACGTATAACTCCCACATCCGAGTACATACGACAATATTATTGGTATCAATTTAAAGGTCAACCACTTCTGCTGTTAACCACTTCTACTTTTAACTTCTCCTGTCCATGTCCTGCAGAGTAAATATATACGCCATGGAATACACATTTTGTCATTTTTCACACAAAAGCCATTTGACCCGATAATATAATGACCGATCTTTATCAAAACAGGCATGCTTATTCTTTGGCCCGATCCCCTTATTCATGTATAATTTTGCGATGTTCTGGCCATAATTGCGGTTTCTGGAGCGACCAGAAAAAACGACCAAAATTTAGTATTTGGTCCATTTCATTCCCTAAATATTAACCGATTTTTACCAAAATCAATAGACTTCATTGCAAAACCTACATTCAAAATTTCGTGATGATTGGTCCATAACTGTGGCCCGTATCGTGTTTACAAATTATAATAGACCGACGGATTTATTTCAGTACCATGTTTCGTAGAGCTCAAAGTTTCTGAATTAGCCGACTATGTATTACCTTCACATATTTGATTTATTAATGTCATTGCTATCGTATCATTCCAATGAAGGAATATCTGGATGATTTGAATCATCTGCCTTCAGTCCGCATTCGTATTTCCGGATCTGTTACGCCTCGCTTATTCACCACACGCCTTTTTTGATTCTCGATAATGCGATAAGTCTCAATTTCATCCAAATTTTCCACATAGAAATGTTTTTTCTTAACTTAAAAAAAATATCGATTTTTTGTTGAAAATGAATTTTATAATATCGTGGGAATGGAGTATCCGATCATGTCCGAAGATGGGAACCATTAGTCCACTCCTTCGTCTAAATGTTGATCTTTTTAAATCCAAGTTTTAAATCGGACACTTCGACTCGAAACATCGTAATTTATTCACCAATCACAGATTTATTGTCACTATTGACTATATATGTCCATAATCTCTGGTACATATACCAATTTCGAAACATTATAACTGGACTCCTCACTGGAACATCGGAATCCTAAAATTCCAACGGTGTTAGAAAGAGTACATGTCTGGCTCTCGTATGAACTAGGATTATTGACTTCGCACAACAATTAACAAAATGGCGGAACTTTGAATTTTTTTTTTTTGGAAAATCGCCTATTTTTTACCACAAACTAAGTTAAAAAATAAGGAAGTTCTTCACCGATTGCCTTTATCCTAGTTCATACGAGAGCTATACACTCCCAGAGAAACGTGTCAAAATTTGGAACCGATTGGATTATTAGTTTTTGAGTTATCGTGCCCGCCATTCGCAAAAGAGAAAACGCGTTTAAAGTTTGAGAAGCCTTTTAGACGTCACTTGATGCTGACACGATAAATCGGCTATATCTTCAAGAGTTCTTGAGATGTTCACTTGACTTTTTGTAGGGACATTCTTGAATTAGTGTAGATTCGAATTAAATCAAAAACATTTTTGACCCCGAGAATGGGGGGGGGGGGGTCCCCTTAAATCATTAATAATTTAAAGACCTTACATCTCAAACCCAACAAAGTATTGCATTCACAATTTATTTACTCAATGATTCAATGTTGATATTTTTTCTCACTCATTTTCTTCTCTTCTTTCTTTTCTAATTCCAGTGAACCACCCATATTGAAAGCCCACAATAATACGGACATTATACTGCGTCTTCCCATGGGCAAAAGGATTAAGGATATAAGATGGCTCTCAGTGTGGTGCAGACGTTTTACGGTATTTATTTTTTATTTTTTCTCACTGTTTATTATTGTTGTTGTTGCTGCTGCTGTTGTATTCTTTTTCTGCTTACTTTTTATTGTGGCGTGTCCTTTGTAGTATTTTTTTCGATTTTTTTTGCAAAATGTACTTTTACTACGGGGTTCTTCGTTGATTTTTTTTAACATTTGTTTTGTTGTGGTTATTGTTCGTGTTTACACAATTCTGTTTTGATTTTTCTGATTCTCCAGAGTATTTTGTTATTGTGTGTGTGTTTGTGGTAGGTGGATATATATGTGGTTGGAGAGAATAGATGTATATGTTCTATATATTTTTAAGAAGATTGTAGTTTTGGTTTTTCCTTTTCAAAAAACTGTTAATAATTGCAAAATCCTTTTTTGTGGTTATTTACCGGAAAAACTTTCAATTTCTTTTTGAAGGTCATTGCTGTGTTGACTTTTTTTGGAAGGGAGAGAATTTGACAAATTTACATTTTTTTGAAGATGAACTTGAATATTTTTGATTTCTGTTATAAATTTTGATTGAGTAATACATGATGGGCATAACTCATCAAGACTTTATTTCTACAAGGTATGATAAATATGTAAATATGAAAATATATTTTTTAACAAAAAGGAGAAAATTAATAGCTCCAGGAGTAGAACATAAGTTCAATAAACATCAGAGGCCCCTTAATAGGGCTGCCGAGTCATGACATGCAGATTCCAACTACAACCTAATTTTTAGGACCACTCCGACTACGAAGCCGACTACAATATAAAATATATGTATATCTATACACTAATATTTGCTAAATGTTCCCAATATATAACCACTTCCGAATGGACCCCAAAAATGGAAACTGTGCGTAGATTTTAAACATTCCATTTAAAAAACAAATAGGTATTTTTAAGATCTAACTGATAACTTTTACGTATTGGTTCATGTTCTAATATTATCTGTCGAGAGTGGATTTATTTGTTGGACCCTACACAGCAAATTTGGCCGAATCTGCAACTTAGCCTTTTAACATTTATTATTCTGGATCATCCCATTTTCGGAATTTTAAAGATTAAAGGCGTCATATCCAATAGAAGACCCCGTAATTTGACAATTAGGGTTTTTAGATGAAAAATACTTCATCGCAGGTAATGTTCGTGTAAAACCATGCATTGGCATAACTTAGCTGCATTTTCCAAATGAATTTAATTTGACATTCTAGTTTTGGGGTCCTTAAACGGCCTGTGTATTAGAACTTTTTATCGGGATAAACTTCATTGTGAGGATTTATTTGACATTAATGAAATGGAATTAACAATTTAAATCGACTGGGATGCCGATATACAGTACAATGTAATTGTAATATTATTCGAATACGACTTCAAAATATGTTATAGATTTTGGTTCGGGGTTCAAACTCGATACTGAAAAGCTTGCAAATAACCAGGACTCTTGGCAATATAAAAAAAACAAACAAAATCGAAACGTCAATAAGATCTCTATCCTTGATAATGTCAAAATATTGATAACCTCACACACTAGCATAAACATGTAATTTTTACGATTTGAAGAAATTTTTTTTTTGATTTTTTTTTAACTTAAAGAGAGCTTGTGGTGAAAATAATGAATAAATTTTCAAATGCATGGTTTATTATAGATTAAATGTGAGGTAGGTTTTTTTAATAGATATATGTCAACATTTGGTTCAAAATCCAGGTACCAAGGTATCATATTTCAACTTGATCTAGGCCAGGTAAATATTGGTTCAAATCGGATAGTTTGGTTCAATCGCATGATATTTATACCCTGCACAACTATGCTGTCAGGGTATTATAGCATTGTGCAGCGACAAGAGTTTGTAAGTTTGTAACGCCACGAAATATTGGTCCTAGACACACCTTTAAGTATACCGATAGTCATATCTCGACTAGCTGAGTCGATCTAGACATGTGTGTCCGTCCGTCCGTCTATCCATTATAATTTGTAAACACGATACAGGCCACAGTTATGGACCAATCTTCACGAAATTTTGCATGTAGGATGGGTTCTGGTCAATGAAGACCCCTATTACTTTTTGTAAAGATCGGTTTATATTTATGGACCAAATACTAAATTTTTGTCGTTTTTTCTGGTCGCTGCAGAGGCCGCAATTATGGCTCTAACATCGCAAAATATTACGCGGAGAAGGGGATCGGGCCAAAGAATATGCAGGTTGAAATGGACCCTGACTTTTGTGTGAAAAATTGCAAAATTTGTATTCTTTGGCTTTTATATTTACTCCTGAAGGACATATACCCAAGAGTTTGACAAGAGTTGAAAGACCACGTTTCAAGATGTTGTCTTCCACTTGGTCTTTTCCTCAAATTCGTGGCCTTCCCCTTCTGCGGGAACCATCAGTAGGCTCGCTTTTATATGCCTTTTGAGCTGTAGTCGCTGCAGCTCAATACGACTGACTATGTCGATGTCCGCGCATAAATTGTAATGCTCTAGGTTCATTCGACGCCGGTATTCACCGTCGACGCAGATCGGCTCGGAGATCGGAGATCCCCAAAACGCCCCAAACGCCTCATCTGCTTGCGCAAGTACCCATGCTTCAGATCCATATAACAGCAAGGGTAGTATCATCGTCTTGTATAGTGTGAGTTTGGTCTAGCGGGAGGTGGCCTCGTTTCTAAACTGCTTACTTAGACCATATTAGCATATGTTGGGCACCCCAATCCTTCTCCGAATTTCAAAACTGATGTCAAAATTGATGTCAGCTTGGTCTTCTCGCCGAAATTGAAATACTTAATAATGATCTAGAATATACCGAACATAATCCAACAAGGTCGCGAAATGCAAAATTACAGTCACTTCATATTGTCTAAATTTATGAATGTTCTGTTGGAAAATGTGCCTAATACCAAAATACCTATAATAGTGCTGGAACTTTATTTGAAAGCTATATCTAAAGATCGACCGATTTTCCACACATGAAAGTCCCCACATATAATGACCTTTCCTGATCATATTGGTCAGAAATATATGCCACATAATGATAACCAAAAATATGTATTTACAGCCAATTCCAAATACCGAAAAATCACGATACTATTATTACGAATTTTGGAGTCCTTCAGAACAATTTTCGTCCGATTTGGCACTAATTTTATATTTTGTGTTCTCCTCCTTGGGGATGTCAATTCTTCCAAACAGAAATCATCATTATCGGTTCACGTTGTGGTGCAGCTCAAACTTAATTTTCGATATTTTAAAGGTTTTACAGCCGAAGTGGCTGTAACGGGTGATTGAAGGGTGAAACATATTTTTGCAGAATATTGTATAGATCCCATGTAACAGTATAACAGTCAAACCTTTAAAAATGCCTATAATTGAGTTATAGGTATTTTTAAAGGTTTGACATTCCAGGTTGTTAAAGCATAATAGGTTCCTCCCCATTATAGGTATTTCGAAAAGTTAAACCGCATTTCACCCCCGAACTGACTATAATTTGGTATTTCGGATTCATGGTGAATAAAAACCTCTAACAAGACATATTTCAATATGGGTCCATGTTCGGTATGTTGAAATTCCCAACCCGGTTTTCCAACTTAGTAGCATACAATGTACAATGAAATAGCCACTATATAAATTCTCAATCGATTTAAAGAATTTTGAATACACGCCGAATGTTCGATCAAACTTAATCAATTTTTGACGTAAAATTGCGATTATCGGGGTATTTTTCGAAGTTGACTTCCATATGGTTTCTCCCTACTTTCGGCGTTTTCAAAAATTGTGTACACGTTTTCAAACCGAAATGCCTTAATGTATATTTTGGGTTGTCATTGGTTAGATAATCTTCCAATCAGAAAAAAATCAGTGTCGGTCCACCACTATGGATAGTGTCTAGTAGCTACTAATTTTTAGTATTTTGAGGGATTTAAAATAGTTTTTCCATTGAATTTACTGTAATTTAGAATTGTGGATTTTAATATTTTACAAAGAAGGCTTCGGAAGGGTATTGGAAAAATATTGCCGGTATAGGTCCACTTTTTGGAATATTCCCGTCATTCACTGTAGCATAGTTCCACGTGGGCATGGAAACATGATTGCAAATAAATGCCAGTATCCCTATGTTGGATAATATAAATAATTCCGACCGATCGAACGTAACGCATTTTTTAATCGCTTTTATCAACACCAGTTGTTTTCCAAACAGGTTTAGATGATCTGAAGTACAACGTTTTATTTGCTAATAATATTTTTGGCATTTCATATAGATTCATTTTTGATAGAAATAGCCTCATCGAACTCATCTTCCTGATGATTTAAAAAAAATTATTTTCCAACTCAAAATACCAACATTGCCAATAAGGATCACTTGTTTCACTTAAATCTCCTTCACCGCAATTTATGATTAATTACAATTTTCGTTTACATTTTGCCTTTGCCAATTTCAAATCTTAAATAAATATTCGAAGTAATTGCCGGTCAGGAGGAAGGAGCTGCAGTTAATCCTTTCATTGTATTCAAATTAATTCAAATGAAAAATAAATAAAAAAAATACAAAGAATGAAAAGCAACCTCACAGTGTAGATGAATATACCAAACAAAAACAACTACGACAAAAAAAAACTATAGCCTGATTACTTTGTAATTAAGGATGCAGTGGCAGTTCCGCAAAAAATAACAAAAACAAGAAACCAAAAAGAAAAGAAATAAAAAATAACGCTGGTTAACAAAGAAAATATGTTGGGATTTTATTGGTATGAGGGCGATGGATTAAAGGAGGATACGGAATTGGGTAAACATTTTAAAGATGGCGTCGTCGTCCTCCACATCGTCACGTCGTCGTCGTCATTTCTTGTAGTAATAATAAAATTTACGGCAGACATTTTTGATTAATACAAGTGCTACTCACTGAAACAGCAAAAGCACTTTACGATGTATGAATATACATACCGACACACCTACAAGCATACTCATGTGGCCAATACACTTATAAGGGTATATAAGGATTTTATACAAATATTGGTCTCTGTGTGTGTGTTAAATTTGAATACATAAAAACAAAAGACCAACAACAAAATGAGGAAACCAAAATACTACGAATCGCTTACACATAGCCCCACTCACCCACTGAGCCAAAGAAGAAAAAGGATATTTTGTTGTTGTTGTTTGTGTTTTGGTTTACAAATGCCGCATTGTGTTTGTGCTCCCCCAAACACACACACACACATACATACACACTGAAATATGTAAGGAGATGTTAGATTCAAAATTTGAGAATTCCAAGAGGCTCCCCATTTAACAAAATATTACTCACCACTAGTGGTGAATTTTTATTCCGTAGAAAATGAGAGCGAGCTTTTTAATCGAGATGAGAGAATTTGACAAAGCCCCCACCCAAATTATTACAAGGACCAACCAATTTCTTCCTTTGCCCTTTCCACAACAGCCTTTCCCCCACCACTCACCTTGCTTGGCAGTTTTAAATATGAAAGAAAATGCGCGCGCATTTCCTTTGCATTTGTATTGGTGGAGCAGAGTTGTTGTTGTTGCTGATTTTTTCCCTTATGTCGACTCTTGGAATCCATTCAAGTTTTACGAAATATCAAGCTATGTGCAATGGTGTATGTGTGTTATGTACCACCAACAAAAAAACCTGTATATAAACGTAATTAAAGTTTATATATAAAATGAAAGGAATCCCCCTTACCCACCTGCCTTCTCACACAAAGGCAAACAAGCAGCCAACCACTCATAATATGTATATATGGAACATAGTCCCATATTAACTGAAACTAAATCAGACATTTATTTATTCTGGTGTATTTACACACACAGACGTGCTCTCACATACTCCCACATACACATTAATATATTTACATAAATATCCAGGAGCATTTCATATGAATATATATTTTTATATGCAATATTTTTATTTATAGATACAAATGTGCAAACATGCAATTCCGTACGCCGAACCACATACCGCCTCCATCTCGGCTAGGAGTCGACCCCGCATACATAAATGCATGTTGCAAAACTTTTCTATGAGCTTTTCTTGTTAAATTATCATTATGAATGATAATTTTTTCGTCGTCGTAGTTGTTGTTGTTGTTGCTGTTATTCGTGCATGCATTTTTTTAATGATTTATTTTAATTGCTTTTTATGCGTTTGTGTGCGTTCCCACGTTATGGTTCTGTAGACAGTGACAGTATTTTTTATAAAGTGGGGTAATGGGGAAATTTAAAGGCAAATTTTGGTGGAATATGAAGGAAGGGATTATATTTAAAATTTTGAGAATATTTTAATTTAGCGTATTTTGGATTATATGAAAATTTCGGATTTCAAAAGAACAATTTTTATTTTTAAAGACTTTCCGTTTAAAATCTCACGGGAAAATTACATTCCGAAACGTTTGAGTTTAACTACTTCTACGTACTTCTTGCATTTTATGTATTTTGAATGCCCGGCTCATGGTGGAGGTAGGTTTAAATATAGTCACTTTATTTGGAAAATGCGGGTAAAGATATCTATAAATGAGACAAAAAGTTCGACCCGACATTTTATCTTTATTCTTACATATGCTCACATATAAATACCCGGTACCATAAGGTGGAGTGTGTGTGTTGAAATCATGATAGAGCTGGTAATGTTTAAGATAGATCTTTGAAATTTGACACATACATTGCTTTTACTCCTAGGATGTCCGGTATTTAAAATGGTATATATCTGTCAACATTTTGGTATAGCCCCCAATATTCTGTATTTTGGGAATTTTTTGACGGAATTGACTGTAATTTGGTACATTAAGCTTCCATTGGGCAGCAAATCTATCTGCCAAAATTATTGATATGTGTCCACTTTTTGCGTTAGCCCACATTTAAAGTTACTCCCCATTATTCGGAATTTTGGGAAGTTTGGAAACGGTTTTTTTTTAATCAATTGGATATAATTCGGTATTTTCAGAATTAATTGGGTGACACATTAACGATGGCCCAATTGTTCAGTATTTTTTGAGGATTTTTGACATTTTGGGCACGTTGTCAACCAAAGCTATAATTTAGTATTTTGAATATTCAAACAAATCTTCCAATCAATATCTATTAACATTGGCCTCAAATTTTAATATTGTGGAGAGCACTTGGGCACTTTATTTAACCAAATTGACATTTATATTTTATTTTGAATTCACATTAGATAACAAATGTTCTTGCCAAAAATTATAAATATTTGCAATTTTTTTTTGCAATTTTTTTACCAATCATTGGTTTGGGAAAATGCAACTATACAGGGTGAGGTAAAAAAACTGCAACCAACTTCAGACTGCTGTCATTCGTTCAAAATATTCGTCGTCCAAACAAAATTATCGTGTTTACTTGCCAAAGAGGTCAGCTGAAAATGTACACCTTCGGTTGGCCACCAGAAGTTAAGAGCCGGCCATGGTGTGGTGTGGGCCGCCATAACAGCCGATGGTCGCTCTCCGCTCGTATTAATCGACCATGGCATCAGAATAAATGCCGAATATTATCGCGAAAATATTTTGGAGAGTGTATTAAAGCCGTGGGCACGCAAACATTTTGGCCTCAGACCTTGGACATTCCAACAGGACTCAGCACCATCGCACTCAGCACCCGCCACCCATGAATGGTTACAAAATGATGTTCCTCGCTTCATTTCCAGCGCACAATGGCCATTAAAATCTCCGGATACCAATCCGTTGGACTATTGTGTCTGGAGTATTTTGGAAAGCAAAGTTGGCACTAAAAAATACCAAAGTGTCGCTTACCTCAAGCAAGCGCTTCGCCAGGAATGTGCCAAAATACCGCAGAGCGACATTCGGGCAGCGTGTGACGGTTTCATTGGTCATTTGAAGGCCATAATTCGTGCCAAAAGTGACCAATTCCAACAAATCTAAACATATTCTAAAATTTGGTACTATTTCCGACATTTTTTGCTCTCATTCAAAAAAATTTAAAGAAAATTTAAAAATTATGGCGCTTGACTTGTTTGTGTTTTTTTTTTATCACAACCTGTAATATTAAAATCGGGCAAAAATTAGACGGTTTTTTAATATGGAACTATGTACAAACATTGACCTGTATTGGAACATTTTTATGAAAATATTAATCACCCTCCAAAAGCACGGAATGCTACATTACTGTCACTTTGGTGGGCAAGTTTTATCTGTGTTGTGATTACGAAAAATGGATGGACATGCTCTAATCGATATGGGACTCTCGACTACAATTTTGAGATGTTGCAAATGAAATAACAAATTTAATATACATTCTATACTTTATCATAAAGGGTCGAACGTCCATATCTGGAGATGCAAACATTTGAAACGAGACTTACGGTAAATTAGATGAAATTATCTCCAAAGCTAGGGCTTCCAAAGCCTTTGTTCCAGACGGCATTTCTATGTTCATGTCAAATAAGCTAGGTGAAACCGAACTAAGTTATCTGACCAAAATTCTGCAATTATAAGTTTCGGATATTCGACTGGTTTTTATACCCAAATCCACTACTTTTTGGGAATCCTACCGCCCGATTTATCTTCATTCGCAGGCAACCAAGATTACGGCTTTTATTCCTAAAATAATATCTTCTAGATGTACATGGACGTGGTTTCAGGGAACCATGGACCCTAAAAAAATATCTTTAAAACGATTCTTTAAAAACTTCACTCTGAAAAAATACTTTTTAAAAAATCTACACGAAATATAGACCCTGAAAAAATATTCGTCTACAACAGCCTACGACCACAGCCTTACTCGGTAGGGCTGTTACAACAACTTTTCAAGTAATAACAACCAAAACTGCGAATGACCCTAATGAGTATTGACTCCCTAAACAGGCCATTTTGGCAGACTTATATTTGTTTAAGACCTCTGATTCTGTCGATAAGCGACATCACGGTGCAAAACTACCCATTTCTTCACAAGATTTTTAACTTTTTAACCAAAAGTTTTTGTAGCATAAATATCACTAACGCGAAAATATTCAGCTACTTAGGGACTAACTCCTGCCGGGAGCGTCATCCTCAAGTATTCACTACAAAGTTACTTCAGTAAATATAGAGTTGGTCATTTCTGTCGAAGGTAGGCGTATCTCCATTGTCCATAATCAAAAAAATTCTTGAAGTGGTTTCCATCGCACTATAATTACTTCAATCTGAAAATGAAAGCTAGGAATAAAGTTTTAAAAGCCCTGGTTAGCTTCTCATGGAACAAAATTAGGCGACGTTGGTCCCATGACATTATGTTGCACTAGACATCTTAGCAACCGTTAGAGAATAACGCAGTCGGAATTGCAAAGGGTTGTGTCCGGATAATGAGCATCAATCATTTCCAAAAGAGGCCGGGACGCTGTCGTCAAGGAACTATAGTGAAAGCATTAAATACGTCATTGGACGTCAACAGAGCGTCGATAGCGAACTCCATGTAATATGTGCATCTTCGAAACGGTCTTCGAAGATAAAAACGTGTTTTTTTTAAAATTGTCAAGCGAGAATTAAGAACAGATTTTAATTCTCGCTCGAAATGCCCTAAAAATATTTTTAAGAAATCCAAACTCTAATATTAAATGGAATAGCTACCCAAGGATGTACTATAGATGCAGATTCTTTTTCTTTATATTCAATAGAAAATGTTCTATAGCAATAAAAAAAAAATAGTAATAAAAAACGACCCATAAACGGCCATAAACTTCAATTTCGGACAGTAATTTCCATTGTTGCACAACAAAAATCTGAATATAGTAATATTTTAAATTCCTCTCGAGAGCGACTTATTCCCAGAAACAGGATTTTCTGCTGACAGCAAAGCCCTCAAGGCATGCATAATTGATTCTATTGTCCATCCTGTCCATTCCACGTCCTTAGTGAGAGCTCTTAATTATAAAAATGTTCTTATTTTTTGTTTAAAGTAAAATAATTCAAAAATGTACTCTCTTTTAATTCCAGGTCGATTTTGGTGAAGTCTTTATACCGCCCGGTTTGGATGTGCCGAAACCCCGAGTTCTGCCCGAATTCAAACGTTTGGCCCATGGTCTGCGTTCGAGTAACATTAGTGTATTGGATGCCAAAACATTTTATATACCTAATTTGCATTATGATGGTGCCGGGCCGGATGCCTATTTCTGGGTTGGCAATGGATCGGAACCCAACATTATGGGTATTAAGGTAAGGAAAAAGCATTTAAAAATATTTCTTCAATTTAAAAAAAAAATTGATCTTCCAAAAGGTACCCAATGAAATTGGTTCATTGGAGCCCCTGCGCGGCTATCAAGGTGAAGATATTGAGATCCAACTGCCTGGCAAATGGACGGTCTACGACATTGATTGGCTGGCTGTGTGGTGTGTTGAATATCGTCATAATTTCGGTCATGTCTATATACCCAAGGATTTGGATGTACCACCGGCATTGGGACAAACGAAAATTACCGTAAGTCGAAAAAAGAGATTTGAAATCAAAATTAATTGTGGGTGTATTGAGTTTTGTTATTAGTTAACCCTCCCTATAACCTCGTTTAGTTGTTAAAATCCCCTTATTAAGAAACCCTTTATTAAAGAACCCCCCTGATTTAGTTACCATTAATAATTTTCCTCTCATCCAGCCATCCATCCGACCATCCATTCTATTGCCATCCCAAAGCATTGTTTTTTTTTTTGCATTAATTCTCAATGTCATTTAACAACCAGCCAACAGCAACATTATGCCATAATCATCTGTATACTATTCTCTATTATTATCTATCTTTTGTATTTAACAACAACAACAACAAAAAAAATGAAAAAAAATCAACAACAACAATAATAAAAATTAATAACCAACCACTCAAATCAAACAAATCGCCCAACCGACCAATCAATCAAACAAAACCATCGCTAACCAAATAAAAAAATTAAATAACTCATTAGCCTCCATGGTGGTACTCTCCTGTAAGTAAATACCGATTAGTTAATGCTTACTAAAAAATCTCCAAAACTTAGTATTTAGTTAAATGCAAACAAATGTACAAATCTACACACCCAAGAACCGAACACTCACATCCACTCTCTCTCTCTCACACACACATGTATAAACGTACAAAATTAGTATTGAAGTTGAAAATCACTGAAATCACAATTTTTTGAAATATTTTTTCTGGAATTTTTATTAATTTAAAAAAAAATTAATTATATCTCCTCTTTATTTTAATATCTTCCACCTCTCTTTCTGTCTCCCTTTAGACCACAACAACACCCCGCCCAGTCTATTCGAACTGCCGTGAAATCATACCGAACAAGTTGCAAGTCAAATGGGAATTGCAGGGTGAATATTTACAAATCGATTTGCTTGGGCGCATTAGCGAAGATCAGTATATGGCCTTTGGTTTATCCGGAGCCAATGGTAGAGCTCAAATGGCCCAATCGGATGTTGTTGTAGCCTTCTATGATACCACCGCCAGAGTGTTCCGGGCCGAGGATTATTTCATCACTGACCTGTCGCAGTGTGATGGTCAAAATGGTGCCTGTCCCGATGAGAGATTGGGTGGACGTAATGATGTTGTTGTCTGTAAGTGTTTACCGAACTATGTTCAAGGTTCTCAAATATAAATGTTGAGGGGTAATACATTTCCTATTTTTCTTTCAAATACCTACAGTGAGTGGTGACCGCAAAAATGGCGTGACCAGCATACGTTATCGACGCCTCTTGCAGACCAATGAACCAATTTATGATATGCCCATACCCACAGATCGTGAGGTGTCCGTCATTGCGGCCATTGGTCCCCTAAACAGTCGCAAGGAGGCTAATGCCCATACACACACCGGCAGTGATCATGTGGTCGATGATGTGCGCATTAATTTCTCCTCAAGGGTAGGTCAAAGAATAAAATCACTTTCGATTTTATGAAAATTAAAATAATTTTTATTTTTCAAACTTACAGTCCGACAACACCTGCAAGCTATCTCTGTTCACGGTGAAAGATGAATCCGGCCCTAAGCCATGGCCAACACGTAAAATTACCAATGAATATACATTTACCGCACGCATTGGACCCACCGGTGGTAAACGTGGTTATACCCCGATTACTGGCATCCCCTCATGGGGTATTGCCTGGTACATTAATGATTTGCTGATACCTGAGATCACCGTGGAACGTGGCAAAACTTATGAATTTATTGTTGAAGGTGGTGATATAGCCGCACAACCAGCAAGGTAGGGGAAAATGCAAGCAAATTACAATTTGAATTTTTTTGAAATATATTATCGTACTTTGTTACAGATACCATCCATTTTATATTACCGATTCTCCCGAGGGAGGTATTGGACAAAAGACTGGCTTGGAATTAAGCAAACAAAAGGCCTATGCCGGTGTTGAGTTCGATGAAGATGGCAATCCCATACCAACAGCATGTAAGTTGAAATCAAACAACAACAAAAATCCACGCCTTATATGGGGCACTTGAAAAAATATTCTTTAAAAAATCCACGCCTTATATGGCTTTTGCGCAGTTTTTTCCAATTTGAAAGACCATTTTCGGCAATTTTGTCTTCGACTTGATCGGGGGGAGTGGCCTTGCTTTTGAGTTGTTAGCTCAGCATCTGTTGGTCATCACAATCCTTGTGCCAGTTAAGTTATCCTGCATAACCGTATTAATTTTGAGGAAGTGCCAAACGCAGACATGGCTTTATACACCTCTGAACGGATAGGACTGTCGAATGCGGCTGAAGCCGCATTGGTATGGTCCAATAATGTCATTGACCATTGGCTTCAGTCGTTCACACAGTACGCTGGATAGCACTTTATATGCGATGGGAAGGAGACTTATTCCTCTATAGTTGACACATATCGCGTTGTCTCCTTTTTTGTGCACGGGACACATGATGCTGAGGTTCTAATCATTGGGCATGCATTCTTCTAACCAAATTGTACTAATCAGCTGGTACGTGCTCCTTACCAGCATCTGACCACCAGTCTTGAATAGTTCGGCTTGTAACCCATCGGCACCGGCTGCTTTATTATTCTTCAGCCGATTGATTGATATTCTGACTTCACTTGGCTAGGTTCTGGGGTATCTTCTTCACCGCCACTATTTGATACCACAAGTTTATCAAAATACTCCTTCCAGATCCTCAGCACGCTGCCTGTATCTGTCACTTGGTTTCTTTCTTCATCTCTACAGGAGGATGTGCCTGCACCAAAACCTTCGGTTTGGTAGAATTTTCGGACTTCATTCTGACTCCTGTACATCTCGATATGCTCACGCTCACGTTTTTCTTGTTCTTCCTTCTTTTTTTCTGAAAATACGTTTCTCCTCCCTCCTTTTCTCCCGATAATTCTCCAACGCATTACGTGTTGTTACTGTCTGCGGGGTTGCCTTATACACTGAGTTTTTCTCATCAGTAGCATTACGACACTCCAGATCGTACCACGGATTTCTTGATGGTGGTCTATGGTACCCAAGTGTTGCTTTTGCTGCAGTTTGTAGGGAGTGGGCAATTCTCTGTCATTGTGATTCTATATCATTATCGGGACAAGAAGTGCCTTCGTCAAACAGGTGAGTAAGCTGAGCGGAGTAGGCCTCGGCTATCTGTTTTGTTTGCAGCGTTTCGTCGTCAAATTTCCGTGTTACATTAGATTGCACCTTTGCTGCTACATTAAGACGTGTGTGTACCTTGGATGCCACAAGGTGATGGTCCGAATCGATATTTGCTCATCGCATCGATCGAACGTCTAAAACACTGGATGAATGCCTTGCGTCTATTACAACATGATCGATTTGATTTCTCGGTGTTCGATCGGGAGAAATTCAAGTGGCCTTGTGTATATCGAGTTGCTTGAATCTGGTGCAGCTAACTACCATGTTTTTTGCTGCCGCGAAGTCAATCAACCTCATGCCGTTGTCTGATGATTCTTCATGGAGGCTGAATTTTCCGACGGGCGCGGCCAAAGATATTTTCCCTTCGGATTTTTGTATTAAAATCTCCTAGCAGAAATTTAATGTCATGGCCAGGGCAACGATCAAATGCTGTTTCTAGGCACTCGTAAAATATGTCTTAGGACTGATGTAGAAGAACTTCGTTTTTAGGCGGATTATAGTAATTCGCTCATCTACTGGAGTGAATCTGGAGACGAGGTCTTTTATTCTCCTGTTAACCATAAATCCGCAGCCAAATTCGCGTCTTGTTTCATGACAGCTATAATACAGGGCGTAATCATCTGATTTACTTACGCCAGACTGATGTAGAAGAACTTCGCTTTTATACGAATTATAGCAATTCGCTCATCTACTGGAGCGAATCTCGAGACGAGGTCTTTTATTCTCTTGTTAACCATAAATCCGCAGCCAAATTCATGTCTCGTTTCATGGCATGGCAGCTGTCATATGCTGTTTCCAGGCGATCGTAAAATATATCTGTGGTCTGTTCATCTTTGCCTTCGGTCAGAGCAAGGGCGCAAATGAGACTGATGTAGAAGAACTTCGCTTTTATACGGATTATAGCAATTTGCTCATCTGCTAGAGTGAAGCTGTAGACGAAGTCTTTTATTCTCCTGTTAACCATAAATCCGCAGCCAAATTCATGTCTCGTTTCATGGCAGCTATAATACAGGGCATAATCATCTGATTTACTTACGCCAGTGCCTTTCCATCGCATTTCCTGTAAGACAAAAGCGAACACTGCGCCTATTCTGTACAACGTGTGCACATTCCAATTGCATATTCGCAGATCGTGGTCCTTTATACGTTTGCGGGAGTCTGTCAACATTAGGTGGGTTTGGTTTTCTTTTTCGTTGCTTTTTCATAGTAAGATAGGGTTTCCGAGTGTGGGTAACGCGCCTTTTTTTATACTTTTTATGGTCCTTGAAAAAAATATTCTTTAAAAAATCCACGCCTTGTTATGGTCCTTGAAAAAAATATTCTTTAAAAAATCCACGCCTTGTTATGGTCGAAAAAATATTCTTTAAAAAATCCACGCCTTGTAAAGGGAATTGAAAAAATATTCTTTAAAAAATCCACGCCTTGTTATGGTCCTTGAAAAAAATATTCTTTAAAAAATCCACGCCTTGTTATGGTCCTTGAAAAAAATATTCTTTAAAAAATCCACGCCTTGTTATGGTCCTTGAAAAAAATATTCTTTAAAAAATCCACGCCTTGTTATGGTCCTTGAAAAAAATATTCTTTAAAAAATCCACGCCTTGTTATGGTCCTTGAAAAAAATATTCTTTAAAAAATCCACGCCTTATATGGGGCACTTGAAAAAATATTCTTTAAAAAATCCACGCCTTATATGGGGCACTTGAAAAAATATTCTTTAAAAAATCCACGCCTTATATGGGGCACTTGAAAAAATATTCTTTAAAAAATCCACGCCTTATATGGGGCACTTGAAAAAATATTCTTTAAAAAATCCACGCCTTATATGGGGCACTTGAAAAAATATTCTTTAAAAAATCCACGCCTTATATGGGGCACTTGAAAAAAAATATTCTTTAAAAATCCACGCCTTATATGGGGCACTTGAAAAAATATTCTTTAAAAAGTCCACGCCTTGTTATGGTCCTTGAAAAATATTCTTTAAAAAATCCACGCCTTGTATAGACCTCGAAAATATATTCTTTAAAAAATCTACGACTTGTATAGACCTCGAAAAAATATCCTTAAAAATCTACGCCTTGTATAGACCTCGAAAAAATATTCTTTAAAAATCCACGCCTTGTTATGGTCCTTGAAAAAATACCTTCTTTTGCCTTTCAGCCGGCCGTTACTGTGAATGGGTCCACAATACCATTGATCGATCAGCTGAAACGGAAACCTTTGAGGAATATATGAAAACCCTGACACTGGTGTGTGAAGAAGGTGAACCAGGCTATTTGAATTGGACTGTGCCAATGGATGCCCCCGATACTCTATATTATCAGGTAAGATTTTGATAAAGAACCAGAACTAAGTATTCCTAACCCCCCTTCCATTTCGTTTACAGTGCTTTACCCACAACAATTTGGGTTGGAAAATCAATGTGGTGAATAGTGGTGCCTCCAGAGGAGGCTTTATAACAACGATGTCAACGTTATGGTATGCCATTACGATGAGTTTGGCTGTCATCGGTTTTAATTTGGCGCTGACACACAATCAAGGCTTCGGGCCACGCATTGCCTGATAGTAATCAAATGACAATAATGTTTGCAGATTTTTTCGTTTACTCATTTCATTCTTTAATTTTGTAATTTATCAGAGTTTTTCTTTTGTAATTTTTTGCTAGATAGGAAATTGGCAAATGAAGGAAGCTAGGATGGTTAGGAGATGATAATAATGACAATAATATTTAATTATCAAAATAATGACAATAATGAGTTAAGTGTTAAGATGATGATGGGGGCGGGAATAAAAGTTAATTACAAAGAATTTTGAAATTTGAAAAAAAAAACTAAAAATAATATCATAAACCGTAACTGGCATCAATTATTAGAATTTTAGGTCCTTGGCAAACAAAAATTCAAAACTAAATATTTTAAAAAGATGATAAAAAAATAATTTTTCTTGGAACAGAATAAAATAGCATATCAAACTCTGATAAATTATGAACACAAAACTAAATTTTATTTAAAACAAATTTTCAAAAAAAGCCAGGCTATTATTATTTTTTTCGAAATACTTTCTAGAAGCAAAACATATCTTGACAATAATTTTTAAAAGAAGATAACAATAAATAATGAAAGAAACTGAAATGAAGAAACACAAATGAAATGATGCACAACATAAAAAACAAAAAATGGGGCTTATTAAAAAATATATATTAACACATACATATTAATATGTATTAAAAAAATTATATAAATTATAAAAAATTAGTAATAAAAATTTTTTTTTTTTTATTATTAAAATTTTATTTCATTATTTTTTTCTATAAATAATTGTAAACTTCAGCATGTAAGTCATCGTTATATATGTAACTATAAAAAATATACACAACTTTCTTTTCTTATTTTTAATTACATTTTTTTCTTATACTTTTTTGAAATAAATATTTTTTTATATATTTCTAAATAATGTCTAACATTTTCCCTAAAATTTTTTAAATCATATTTTTTTATATAAATAAAATGTTTGTTCTCTGTTTTTAGAAAAAAAAATAAAATAGAAAAAAATTCAAACTCTGTACAATGTTTACTTAAGACAAAAAATTAATTAAACAATTAATGACAATAATTTTTTTGTAAATATTAAAAAAACAAACAAAATCAGAAAAAATGCAATGAAATGTAATTCCCTGACAATAAACAACACAATACAACTTAAGACAATAACAACAAAAACAATAAATAATTATATAATTAAGAAATATACACATAACACAAAACTGTGCTACAAAATAATTCAAATAAATAAAACCGATAACAAGGTACACAGAATAAAATTTTGTTTTTGGAGAGTATTCAAATTTAATTTATTTTAATATTGACATTAATTTAAAAGATAAAAATATGTAAACCTATTATAATTTTTTTAAAAAGGTAATATATCCCTATGGATACATCATGCTAACAAATATTCCAATCTCTCGTTCTATTTTTCTTGAATCATATATATATATATATATATATATATAGACACTGATAAATTTCGAAAAAAAAAACCTTTTCAATATGAAGAACTGCCAGATTCGTCTAAAATACCGGAGATCCCATAAAGTATATAAATTCTTGATCAGAATATGAATATTTTTAGAAGCGCGTTTCGGCATTTCGAAGGTCTTCGCTGCATTTTCCCACTGAAGTGGTTGACTACTCACAAAGGGGTGACAAATACAAGTTTTCTTTTTAAATAGATTGATGTGGTGATATTTAAACCTACACATACATTCTTATAAAAATCAAAATATATGGGAGTACAATTATACTAAATTTTGGACCTTGATACAAGGAATACTCCTTAACTCATTTTATTTTATTTTTTAAATTAGCTAAGTTCTTAGGTACAGCGGTTTTTTCTTCGAATCTATCTGCTTCAGACTAAGGAAATGTAGACGAACGTAAAAGTTAACTTTTAGATTTGACTAAAAACTCGAATTTTCTATCTTTCGATTTTGTCAAACATGTTCAAAATCGATTTTCGAACTTTAAAGACTAATGCAAAATCGAATGGGCTTTGTGAGGAAATCGACTTGACGATTTCCTCAAAGATCAAAAGTCGACTTAGACTTGTTATTACAGAAAGCCGATTAATCGATTAGTTGAAAGTCGATTTACTTACTACTTCAGACTTTAGTCCAGCTTTAACTGATTCCGCTTCATGTACAGCTTTCTAGGCATGTGTCCGCTTCAAGTTGCCTCAGCAGGCTTTCTACAATTAGACAACATTTTATAGGCAACACAGTACTTACCATGGGGTATTGGTTTATCGTCTTGTTTCCCTCATCGAAAATCCCTTCTCCGACCTTGGTTTCTTCTTTAATTTTTCTCTTTACAATCCCATCATAATTTTTTTCTACATTCTGGAGACCGACTTCTTGTTCCTGATTTGCAAAATCCGTTTCGACATCTTCCTTTTTCTTCAGCTTGTCCATAGATCCTGCCTAGGGATAAGTAAATCGACTTTCGACTAATCGATTAATCGACTTTTTGTATTGAAAAGTCTAAAAGCCGATGTCGACTTTTGATCTATGAGAAAATCATAAAGTCGACTTTTCAAGATCGACTTCCTATTTTCTTCATAAATACTTGGTTTATTATCACAAAGCTCAAATTGCCCAAAAATTAAACTTTTCAGAACTTTACTTTATCTGTTCACATTAATTCATATAAAAAAAATCAAACTTTTAATCAATTTTGCTGAAGTCAATAAAAGTCGAAAATCGAATTTGTACAGTTTTGACAAAATCGAAAGATCGAAAAGTCGCCTTTTTAGTCAAAGGCAAAAATCGAAAAGTCTTAATGTCGACCACGTATCACTGATCCTGCCTCACTCAACTACGGGGTTTCCTTTTGTTTCTGCTTTTCATAGACTTCTCGTTCTAACCCACGAATTATCGAAGCATTATCCAGTGGTCTACCCACCGCTGAACTTTTACTGACCAGTACCAATGGACTGTCGCCATAAATTCCCTCCACAGTGAGGGCTTGCGGGGGCTACTACTTCCTTATTTTTATTTTTTATTTAATTTGAAGATCTGTGGAGAGTTTTCCCATCATGCACGTAATGAAACTGAACAACAACTGTCTTATCAGCGTTGCATGTAGGATTTTAGACTTTTATCTTAAAATACTCCAACGATCATATCTTCTGTAATACAAAATTTTGTTCAAAGTAATTTGAACATGCCGGCAAATGGCAGAAGAGCTGAAAAATTAAATTTCTGTTCAAAGCATTTTGAACAGTTGTTATAATTTGACAAAAATCGTTTATTTTTATATGAACTATATGACTTTATTTAACATGCTTCGGAATGTCCAAATATGCACCGTTTTGTTGTATGATTTGTTGCCATTTTAAAGGTAACTTCATAATGCCTCTCTGTATCCTGGTTTGGCCACCGTTTGAGGTGCTTTAGCGCTCTTTGATCACGATCGTTTTTGCACAGTGTTTGTGATCCATTTCTCATCACCAGTCACCATCCGTTTAAGAATTGAGTCTATCTCATTCCGTTTGGTCAAGGCTTCGCAGATGGAAATTCGATCCTTCCTATTTTTTTCTGTTAATTGGTGTGACACCCAAACACCGAGGTTCTTTTTTAATCCAGCTTTGTGTAAATGCTCTAAAACAGTTTTATGGTCGATTTTTAGCTCCTGGGCGATGTTACGAATGCTAACATGCCGGTCAACTTCAATTATTTCTGCGTTTTTTCAACATTTTTATAATGAATTTCTTTTTTCCCAACATAATATTACGGTATGATTAAAATTTAGAAATCAAGTTTTTGCGATACCAAATTTTTTGTATCAAATTAGGACCAACGGCACTTGTGAACTGAAATTTCCGTGAGGCGCACCAGTGTTTGTTAAATTTGGCTTAAATTTAAATTTCTGTTTGAGATATCTAGAAATATGTATTTCATTCTTTATAAGAAAAATAATTTTATATAGAATTTGCCATGTCAGTATATATATATATATATATAAATGTATATGTACGCAATATGTGCATGTCCCTTTCTTAGAATACATGTAAAACTTATTATAATCATGGAAAAACCACTACTTTCCCCAAAAAAATTAAACATTTCATAAATATCAAAACTATTTTCCTACTTCGCTCTACTTTACCACTTTTTGGGATCGTGTTTTCCTCTCTCTCTCTCTCTCTCTCTCTTTGGAAAAAACAAATGTATTACTCCAAGAAAAAGCACCACCATTCATTGTTCGGCGGTGTTTTGTTTTGGTATCGTCCTCTGTCTCTACCCTCACTGGTGGTTGTTAGTTTCGAAACCGTTTGTTTGTTTACTGCTTCTCTTGTTTACAACTGCGGTCTCTCCACTCACTCTGTATTTCAGACACTGTTACCAACCTCTGCATTGGTGTTTCAAAATTCGCATATGCATTTTCCAAATTATTTCGATAGAAATACCAAATACAATATAACAAATAAATGTTGAAACGAGCAAAAAGATCAACCGAAAGTTTAACATTGTATAGGATTGTTATTATAACGCTAAGAAAGAAAATGTATGTAAGTAAGAAAAATCATGACAAGACAAACAAACGAAAGACTGGCGTATATTTGAGTTGATTTTAATTTACCAATTTATTAGGGGGCGAAATAAATTTTTCAGAAAAATTTTCTAGATAAAAACTAAATAAAAATATATTTGATTTTCTTTAAAAAATATGCACCACATAATCAAATATTATTTGTCTTATATTTTAGCATATATATTCCCAAAACGGATATTTACTTTAAATTCATATACTTCAATTTGAATGTTCTCATTGGTGTATAAAAGAAAAAAACGAATTATTAAAATTTACTTGCAGCACTGTGTAAATTTGTTCATGCCATCATGAATTAAAATAAATAAACACATTGACAAATAATTACAATTACAATAAATTATACATATTATAACAATAATAAAATATATCATAATTCTGTGCTCAATTATAGAAGTACTAAACATCAAATATAAATATGAATAAATAAATAAAAAAATAAATGAAAGAAAAA